CTCACAATGTGTTATTCTGCTTCTGCATGGTGGAAAAACTGTGTTCATTGTTAGTCATGGCTCTTGGTTGTTTGATACTCGTGACTAATGTACCCACATACACACAGATCACGGCGCTAAATTGTGTTATCATCCCAAGAAGGCTCTTTGTCTTCACTATACAAATACTCTGTTTCAATACCACATCGATTCTGATTTAAAGCTTCTCTCGAGCTTTGTTTTAAATATTCTAATCAAGATAAGCCATGTTTTCTGTTAAATAGGGATTTTACTCCAATGAACTTTATGGAAACTTTTTACTGGTGAAAATTTCAGGAAGACAGTCAAGTAAAAATAATTTTGTTCTGAGGAGTTAATGAAATTCTTTAAACAAAGAAATTCTAAGAATTTAATATTTAAGCATGACATATGAAATCATAGTACAGGAATGTTCCTTAATTCTATTGTGAATCACACAATGGTGTATTTTTTTCTTGCTGGTGCAAAGTTATAAAAAGCATTGGATCCGTTTCATGAGACTGAAACCTTGAACAAAAAGGAAAATACTCCATGAGCCTTCATGTGGAAAGTCTCCAAAACTGCAAAGTCATAAAAACAAGGAAGCAGACACAAAACAACATGTACACAAGGTTGTGTACACATATGAGAGGACAGGACAAGGTTCTGAATGAAGAGGGAATTCAGTCGAGGTCAACAGGATGTGATACAAGATCCTCTGTATGGGCACAGAGGAGATATTCATACATAATTCCAGAAGGGCAAAGAGAAATTTGCAAATTGTACTTTAGAGAAAAACTGCAGAGTAATAAAGATCCATTCATGTGAATATTTTACACAACTGGAGGGACTGCTGCGTGAGATACAGTCCATCAGAACAATGTGAGTGCACACAGAGCATTTTAGAATGGCTGACTCATTAATAACCATTCAGATGTTTTATTAAGTCGCATGAAGACAGCTATATGTAATATGTCAACATTAAAAAAGTGCCCAATAGTTTTTAATGTTATGAATTTTTGAGCGTTTTCTGTTGGGGGAAAAAAAAAATGCTGAGTTGGTGGTAAAATGCAAGTGAATTGAAACATGTTTGACTTCACAACTTGAGGAGAGAAGAAGATATTTTTTGGCCGAAAAGTATTAAAATATGGAATTAAAAATCACTGTTGTCCACTGTTATTAAAAGTAATTATAAAGCGAGAACCTGTTTGCAAACATGACATGTTTGCAAAGTCCATCTTTACAAGTTCGATTTAAAAAAACTTAAATTCAAGAAAGTGAAACCTTTTCAAAATCTCCCACTGTACATACCTAAAAAAGTCTGTAGAGTGAAATTATAAAAGCTACTTTCAAGCTAAATGCTAGCTACAGTACAATGTTGCTTCTTCGGGAACAGTTTATCACAGGGGAGCTTGTTGAGACGCCACAACAAACACAGCATTAGAAAGGCAAATGTATGTGAACTGCTTGGCCTAGCAACTGTGACGAAGAGGATAGAGTCATTAGAGAGAAACTGAATGAGCTCAGTTGCTGTGGAATTTGATAGGCAGGGAGAGAAAATATAGGATTTTGTCAAATTCAGCACAATCCCTAGCATCTGTCGAGCTTGGGAAGGCATATTTTTATCACTTAGCATGAGCTGTTGAAAGTAACTGCAAAGTGAGGCTAAATTGCAAGCCATGACATAGGCATTTGAGGGTTTCTCAGGAGGAATTTCTCAACCTCTCAAGTCATTCATTCAAGGTCAGGTTCCACCCTGGCTACATTTCAGCTTCATGGGAAGCAAATTGCATCAGACTGAGGACTGACCTCCATGACTTGTGAAACATGTGTTTGAACCATGAGTTATCTACTGATACCATATACTCAAGGGCCTCTCAGTGACATTGTAAAGTGCTTATATAATTCCCAGAAAAGAGATGTTTTGTATAGCGTCTAGAAATAAACTAGTTTCACTAACCCTAAAGCCTTACACAGTACTCAGCAAAAGCTAATGCTAAAGCTCTAAATTCAACCATGTTGAATAATGTATAATTTACATTTATATCTTGTTCTCTCTGCACATCTTGTATTTTGTTCCTGTATGTGTCTTATTTGAAGACAAAAATATTGGGTGGTCGGGGAAAGAAAGAGGAAAAGGAACTGCTGCATAAACAATCTTTACCCACTTGAAAATAAGAGCAGAAATATAAAACAGCTATTTGAAGAAGTTTCAACAGTTGATGATGAAACCAACAACACGGATGTTGTATTTTATACAACTGATAGTTAACAAAACATATAAGTAAATTAACGCTTTAGAAAGAAGCTAAATACTTTAAAAGTTTGCAAAACATCTAAAAGAAAAAAAAAATATCTAAACTATTAGCAAGCCAGTGGATTAGTGGAAGTGTCCCCACCACTGTCTGACAGCATAATAAAACACATTAACCTACAAAAAGTCTATTGCTTCTCAGACCTTTTAGAAAGTGTTTCAAATCATATTATTTCAGTCCTTTGACAGAAAAAACTCTAAGATAGGTGGATGAATGTAATACTATGACATCCTCCTCACAAAGCACTACATCTTCTTATTATTCTTTCAAGTTGTTTATGTTTCTAAAATCACATAATAAAACGGGATTATCATTTAAATGATTGTAAATGAACTATCTAAGTCTAAAGTATGATTCTAGTCTAAAAACTCTATGAAAGCTGTTCTAGATAATTAAATCCTTCACTAAAAGCTGTGTCACACCACCCACAACTACAATTGGCTCCCACAAAGTCTCCTCTATGTAAGACTGTGAGTAAGAGTGCGTGTATGTGACAACAGCATAGCGCTCTGTTGATTTAGTTCCCCTCTCCTTAGGGAGAAAGTCTGTTGTTGTCTTCCAAAATACACACACCCTCCCACAAGCACAGAATGCACTCACTTGGAAACAAAGTTGTGGTGTGGCTTTTGTTGCTTGATAATTGTTTTTAGGCAAACATAATTTTGCTAGCAGAGACAGCTAACCCATAACCATGAATCAATGAAATGGTAATGGAGCCACGGGGGAAAAAAGGCAAACACATTCAATATACCATGGCAACGTAATAGGAGGAGCTCACACTCTCTATGATGGTCTTTATCTCTTCCTTTTTCATGCACCCGCTCTGCAAATAACTTTCCATCACTTTAACTCCTCATAAATATTTTCTAAAACCTTTCCAAAAAATAAAAAGGTCCAAAGGAGAAGCTAACAAACCAGTAAAAGTGAAATTGAATTAGCTTGCCACCAGCTCACTATCATAACCATTGTTTTTCCCCGCTTCCCTTTGCACAGAAAGCCAGTCAGGTAAATAATCACTTTTGATTTAATTACTAACTCAATCATCCTTAATGAGATGGGCTTGCTAGTTGCAGTGGTAACTGCTGATCTCCCTTTCTATTTTTTTTTCTTTCTTTTTACCAAGTGTAAAACTTCACACTGTAAAGCCGGATAATTTGTTTCTATAAGTAATTTAAAAGTTACTTTTCTTAATCAGAAAGGACAATATCTACCCTAATCCTCATAGACTTCCAGTCAAACTTTTTGGGAACTGGAGAGGACAATAAAATGATTTGTAACCTGGTAGTTTCTGAAACAATTTTTTATTTTTTCCAAGTCAACAGTGTTAATCACAATATTTAACCTCAATAATATGTGGGTTTCTCAAAGCAACACCGTCTAGATAAACTGCACTTCTTGACTTACAAGCTCAAACTGTATCCATATTCAGAGCAACACTCATAAGTAATTTACATAATGTAAGATAACACACAGCAAGAGTCATAAGCATGCACCACCACCTTGTTATTCTAGAGGGGCTTCACCTGAGTAAAACTCAATACAAACTGAGAGCTTAGAAGCAGAACTGATAAAACTAAGCTTCCCATTTAAATAATAAAACTCTCATTAATTACAAATGGTGTCTTTTAAGGCTGGGCAATCAATCAAACTAAATGATTAATCAACACTAGAGCTTTGCAATGGGCCCAGTTGTGTTCATGTAACGCAACATGTTGGATAAATTAATTTTGTCTTATTCCAAAGCTCTTGAGCTGCCTTAAGATGTGTGCAACCTCAAGCCTCTTCTCAAGAGAAGGTTTGCATTTCGTCAACTATGCAAACACCCTCTTGCCTAACACAGCTGGTATGAAATCTCTGAGTACTAATACATGAGGTTTTTCATCTTTAAATCAACCATTAACAATGTTTGACAGCGTGTGGAAATAAAAAGGAAGGATCTGACTTGAAAAACTCCTTTTACTGATTCCACTGTGATACCATATCAGCTGGCTACAGAGAGCTAGCAGTAGCTCCGTGGGGAGGAATTAAATTTGATTGGTCAGAAGGTAATTACTTTCATTCTTCGCTTCTTCAAACCGCAGACATTAAATGAATCTCTGCCTCCCTACAACAATAATTGCTTATTTCGATTTTATGAAAAAGTTACCAAGATTTGTCTCTTCATTAGCTTCCTAATGACACCTGGTGTGAGTGTGGGAGGTAACCATTAATGCAACGATATTACTTTATCAAAGGCAGATTTTTATTATTTTTTTTCCAAGAGTGACTCAGGTAGACTGTAGATTTGTGTGGATGTGATTATCAGTCTGTGATTTGAAAAACAGTTCCTCTGGGATGACAAGTGACTCAAACCTCTACTTATCTTCTCTGTGTGTCATTCTTAGAGAAAAGCGGATCATATCAGTGTGATCGGCCCAATACCCACAGGAGCCGTTCGCATCAAAGAGCACCTGACTCTGACAGCTAAAGGGCCTTGATCACTTGGCAGACGCTGTAAAGCCGGTGATCACTGATGGTTGAAGTGGAGTAAGATAGTACACTGCATGCCACTCACAGACACTGGGATGGAGACATCCCAAAGAAGACTTACGGAAATGTATTTTCAAAACTGTGTTTTAGATAATCTCTAAATACCTTTTGTGTATTTTTTTTGACCTGTCAGTGTCAGGTTGTGGTTGTGCTGCGTACCCTGTGTGGGTCGCTGTCGTGACCTCTGCGCCGTAGGTCCAGTTCTTCATACGGCGGCACCATTCCTTCTCGCCTTGCTTGCTGATACTCTCTTCTTAGCAGCTGGATGCGGTCCATATTGCTGCAGAAAGATACATAATCAAATGCATATGAGCATACATTAGCGGGGGCAGATAGATGTAGACATCCACAAGAAACAGATAGAGCCACACAAAAAAAAATTAGTTTGAGAAAATTTTAAAAAATACATATTTACACATCTCTTTATTCCAGTTTGTCCAAACTCTACATTTTGAATGTTCACTCTGACAGGATGTCTCAATGGATATTTGTTTTTGACATAGAGGAAGGTGAAGTGTTAGAACTTTACAACTTGTAGGTAGATTTTATTTGCAGGGGAAATAAGAAAGCAGCATCTACACTGACTAAAAGTAAAAAAAAAAAAAAACAGAAACATAAAGTTGATGATGAAGTTTATTCAAAAAACAAGTGCATTGGAGAAAAGCAGTTCAAGTAAAAGCTACTTTTGGATATAGAATTTGGTGCATCTAGATGTCCCCAAAAAGTTTGGATATTATCATTCACACTACGGCTATCTGCAGTTTCTGCCTGGTGTAGAGTGTTTTATTAAAAAGCACAAAGCTAGTAGAGCAGTTATTGATGATTCACTAAATATGTTACATTTGGGATAACTGATTAACAGGTTTAGGCAGTAAGTCTACAGTGTTATTATGAATCATAAAAAAACTTAATTTTTTTTTCATGTGTTTGACTTTCCTGCGTGCTTTATGAATTAAGAAAGTGTAACTGTAAAAATCTGAATTTATTTGTCATATTAAACTACCAAAACAATTTGAATGCATGATGGCAAATTGACACTGGTTTCCGGGTGTTGTATTTTGACCAAAGTTGACAAATTGTGGAAATTATTGTTGAACAATCGTCCCTATGGTGATGACGCCAAACAAGCCAGGTGTTCATTCACACATTAGTACTTCCACCATCAACTTCAAAACTTGGGCAGCAGGGATGAAGACTCCAATCCCTTGATCACTTTCACTGCCTGCATCTATTTCAGTTTCCTTTTTTCTTCCTGCTTCTTTTGCAACCGGAAAGAAAACAAAACCATCAATCAATTCATGAATATTCTCTCTGTCAACACAGAAAATATACAGCATATCAACACTGAACTCTGGGCACCCTCGTGAGTCATGCACATGCACACATATCCACTCACCCACACATAATGAAAATGCAGAAAGTCATATCATACACATACACTATGAGGTCATATGCAACATTAGAGATGCAGTTTGCAATTTCATGAACCGAGTTGGAGCAAGAGGGGAAAATGCGCTGATGGAACATCAGGTGATTTATGAAAAGTCTGAAAAATAGCAATATACACAAATACTAAAAAAACAACACTCAGAATTGCTCCAGGACATTCTGTGAGCACAACAACGCCTTCTGAGGGATCATGAATGAATATTGCTCCGTGCTTTGTTTGTGGATATTTGTTTTTGCTAAACACCCAGTCAAAAACCTTCCATAACAAACTCAAATAATAGAAATTAAATATTCAGGCTGAGAAATCATCATCGATAAGTGTACAACATTTTTTTTCTATAAAAACTGATTGACATTAAATTAGACACTATGCTGTAGATTAATCTACATTCACAAGAGACAAAATCTATAGTCTCAGAAATTGCGTGCACACATAGTCCTCTGTGTAAAAAAAAAAAAGATGCTGCATTACAGTGACATATAATCTAGTTTTTTATGCGCGTGTGCATGTGAGTGTGTTTGCTCTTTCAGCCTAAAAGCAAAGAAGCGCTCTGTCAGCAGTAACACAAAATATCACTCTGAAAGAATGCATTTAGAAAGAAATCAGATGGAAACTGCACCTGATGACAGTGCAAAACATCTTATTGGGTCCCAATTGTACCTTTGTTTTTTTATTCATTCTTTCAACAAAAGGTTCCGGTTGGTTGGTTACATTAAAAAAATAATAATAATAATAATAAAAATAATAATAATAACAATAATAATAATACTAATAATAAAAAAGAAAAAACAACAACAACTGAATATTGGATAGAATAAATTCCATAAGCTTTACAAATCAGGAACAAGTAATGGGAAAGCTAACATTTTAATGAAGCCATCCAGTAAAAACAGACATGCATCAGTGATAAATGCTTTTCTGTAGAAGGCTCCACTTTGTCCTATTGTTATTTTCATTAATAACCTTTGAACAAAATTAAATACATTTAAAATCAACCAAAAGAAAGATTCAGAACGGTTGAGATACAAAATGAAGTGATTATGCTACTGTTAGAACACATATACAATGGAGCCCTGGCATTGGATATGTGTTCAGATTAGGAGCCACAGTAGCTCACAAATAGTTAAAACCTGGGAATTATTTGATTCCTCTTGTAAAAACATAAAATCATAAGAACTCCATATTACATATAGAACATAGAACATATTACACAGTCCAATCCAGGAGTGCCATTAATTTTACTAGGGACTGATTGGCTCTATACCCATGAGTGGAAATAAGAACGACTGTAGATGTTGGCTTCTGTTGTACACTGTTTTCACTGTCCATTGACTGAATATTAGGGTATGTTTAGTATTTGAACCATTAAAATCGTCACTTATAAGTGATTTTAGTACACACACCTGTGTCTCCAATTTGCATTCACTGGTTATTCCCACTTAAAGGCACTTTAAATATTCAAATCCATGCTTCTGACACAGCTTAGGTATTCCTTACTGCTGCACCCTTTTCAAAAATACAAAAAGTATGATTAGACATTGTTTTTTTGTTTTACTATGGTAGATTAAGCTAATTTATTGGCTTTTAGAGAACATAAAACATTGTCTACTTTCAGCAATATCTTGAAGAAATGTGTTTAGCGAACACCTCCTCTTACTTAACACCTCTAAAGCCACAACAGGCCTCATTTGCACTTGCACCTGTCCCATCTGGACAGAAATATAAACAGATTTAGCACTTGCTTGTATGCTCGGGTCCCTTTTAGTAAGTTTTAATGGTGTTCACCACTTGTAAGTAGTTTTGGCTAAAAGCATGTGCAATAACGTAATGCATATGTAAATATACAATGTTCCTGGGAAGAAGGTGCAATGCATGATTCATTTGGTGTGCAGGGGATTGCAAATTGAAAATCGAGTACTCTTAGAAAACAAGATAGAGCAGCCACATTTATCATTTAATACCAGACGTGAAAGAAGGTAAATAACTTTAAATATCCTGATGGCCACAGGACATTGGATACTGAACAAAGCTGAACAACTACATTTAATAGCAGAAGGATGACACACGTTGTAGCAGAAATTACATGCATTTCTACTTTGTTAGTGGCATGCTTAGGAGAATATTGAGGAAAGATTAGGGCTGTACACTTTCATGTCAAATAACAATGAAAGAAAATATAAACAAACTGTAAGGTAGTTAGGTAGAATAGGGAATGAAAACAGAAGTATGCATATCCATATTTCTATTTTCCGAGTTTAAAAAACGGAAAATACTGAATTCTAGACTTTTCTGGATTGTATAAAATTTGCAGTGTTTTTTTTAATTTGTTGTGTTTTTCCATTTTCTCTAAACAAGTAAAAACATATATTTAAAAATATGCACACACACAAATGAGGGGTATTATTTTTAAGATTTACGACACATCTTAAATGAAGGAGAACAGTCTTAGGATTACATCAAAATGATAAACAGACTTTAAAAAAGAACCAGACATATCTAAATATGTCCAGGATCACAAACTAAAAACAGAAAGTTTATCAATTGGCTTTGATTGAAAAAGGAATCTCAAATTATCAACTATAACTTTACAGCATGTTAAATATTACTCTCCAACTTTAGGTTATTTTTTACATTAATCAAAGTAAAGCAAATATTTTACAAAAGTAAAAACTTTTTCTTTCTTGGTCTCCTTCTTAAAGTCCCCCACACACACCAAAGGAAGCACAGCCAGATCAATCTCTGGTTCCCGCTCTGTCACACCAATAATAATTCCATAAATGTTTAAAAATCCAAATGGGAAACTCGCCATAGCTGGTAATAACCCTGCCATTAATAATTAAGACCGTGTTCCATTAATAACATGGTGAAAGACGCCCAAAGAAATATCAGTATCCACTGTAAAGTAAAGAAATATGTCCTTGTCACTGTAATCTATAAATATTTACCACACTGGTTGGATCGTTTTTTAACTGGAGTTACAGCCCTAAAAACTGTCTTCTGGCATATTTTAAATCAGCATTTGGAACTGACTCGTGATCACAGGACATGTATATTTAACATTCATTTTTAATGTTGTAATGTAAGACCTGTCAAGCTCTCCAGTAAGCCAATCCATTCAGGAAAAATATAAAATATGTTGGTTTAAATTCCCCAAAAGATGTTTTATTTATTTTATCAGTTTTGCCCATTCCCTATTAATACATTTAAAATGTATTATCAGCTTAGTTTACCCAAAGACAACTTAATAACCTCATCCATAATTTAGATGTAGTGAATTTATTAGCATTGTCTGAGTGATATGTAAAGAAACATATTTCATGGATACAAAAAAAAAAATGGAGATGAGGATAATATAGACATGCTGAGAGAAAAGACAAGCAAGGTACATATTATTAGCTTCCCATAATAGATGGATTTGAGCTTGAAGGTTTAATAAATCTGACAGGAACTGGCCAAAGGCTGGTGTGGTCTGGTGTATCTGACACACTTGCAGCTACAGTAATGGCTCATGCAGGGGATGGGTGCACAACAAACAGGGATGGACAAACACACAGGTGATTTATCACCTCGTCCAAGAGGTGACACATGGGAAATATGTCACTCAGATTGTTGGCTCTGTCTGATTTATAAACCTGACTGAAAGTGAGATTACAGAGTGCATCAAAATGAGAATCTAAAACCACACAATACAAGAAGGAGTTATTTTACTAACGTAAAGCAGCACAATGTTATGCCTCTGTTTAAGCCAGATGAAAATCCTGTTATTTTTTCAAAGTTCTTCTCAAACTTTTGGAAAACAAATTTTGACCATATGTTCTCAGAGGGGAATT